ATGCACAAAAACAAAAACATGCAGGATTTTGCACCTTGATCAACTCGTCTGACAAGATTGTGTGGGAAGAAAGAAAAAAATAAAATTAATTCTCTAGTGCTGTTATTTTAGTTACTAAACATTTATATTTTATTCTCAATATAAATAAATGTCTTTAAAAATAGGTTTAATATCTACAGAAACCATTCCTAGGCACATATTTTCTTCTTTTATAATATTAGAAAATTATATCAAGGCACAGTTAAACTTTCGATAAGATTAGGAAAGATTTTGATTGAAGAGTTTGACTTGTTATTTTATTTTAATTCCATCATAGATTTTATTGTTTAATTTTATTTTTGAGAGATTATTAATTATTTTCATACTTGAAAACCCTAAAAATTATGTTCATCAAATTTCATACAAGATTAGTTATACTCTTTTGATGTGTAATTTGTTCGAATATAATTAATTGGTAGGTTTATTTTACAGGTTGCTTCTTTACCATAACATTATTGATTAGATATATTGTCGCTCTCAGATAACTCGTACGGATTGACCAATTTGTTTTTCATTGAAATTAATTTCTTTCAAAATAAATATATTAGTTATTATTATTGGTCTTCAAAGTTATATCTTTTGATTGTTTATTTGAGATGTAAAACATGCAATTAAATAATAAATAAAAATCAAAATTTATAATAGTTGAATAAATCAATTATGTGAACTCTAAAGTCATGTTTATCATAATATTGTTTTCAATCTTTTATAATTATCACATATTATTTAAATATTTTTCTCTTTAATTTTAAAAATTATTATTTTAATTTAATTTTTCATTATAATAACTCTTTTTATTGGTTTAATATAGATTTTTTATGAATTCAACACCTATAACTACGCTACAACAACCATTTAGCCAAAGGATATTAATTTTGGAGTGAGACAGTTGCCAACTTAAGATGTAAGACTTGGTGATCAAGATAAAGGGATAAAGAATAGGGGACCCACACTAGGTTAGGCTTGGCTCACACTTGGAGGCACCCTCTTCTTCAAGCTTCCTCTCCTTTATTGTTGTCCTCCTTACACCTTTACCAAAATATTGCTCATTTAAACAGCGGAGTGCATACACTGGAGACCACATCCAGGTCTACTGCACACGCACTAATGAGCTTTCCTTTTCCTTGCGCACAGGTTAGGTTTCTGGAGAAGAATCGCAACTTTCTTCACTCCTTCAACAAGTCTAGATGGTGAGAAACCCAGATTTACCCTCTATAGCAATTTTCTGATTATCAGTTATAATGCATGCATGCAGCTTTAGATTGTTAGTTTTCAAGATAGAAAACTTGAAGTATTATTTATTAAACAAGAGTTCCATAGAGCGACTTAAATCAAGTAGTTCTCGTGCAACATTAACCTTCAGAGCATTATTTTGATCATAAAATGAAAATAGAAAAATGTGCTTCAAAAGAGAAATAGAAAGAGCAACAAATGGTTAACAACTTGGTTAGAAGATAAGAACAAGCACTACCAGCTATTGTATTATTAAAATGTTTACGTAAGGAACAAGATCCAGAGCTCACAAGCAAAACTTTTACGGAGTATGTGTTGTTCCTTAAACATTCTTCTTCATCTCCACCACATGTTATTGTTGTGCCTCGGTCACAAAATTAAATAAAATAACAATTAGTGAACTTATTAGAAAATATCAATAAGAAATTATCATCAAAATAGGTGTGAAAAATTTACTTATTTTAAGGCAATTCATGCCTCTACGAAGAGTAGATCAATCGATGCAGTAGAAATATATGTAGTATGTCGCCCCTAAGATGCTATAGCCTTATAATAATACTTTATGAATCTATACTATTCATAGAGTCACCTAATTCAAAACACTTTTCTTTGTCCAAAAGTATTTGGAAGATAAAGTAAGGTGAGAAAATAGAAGAATGAGGAGGAACTTCCTTTTTTGAGCAAAATGACATGTCTTATTTATAGGACTCATGGTCCTGTAACTCTCATTTGTAGGGTAATAATATGAATAAATTGGATAATTATTATATAATAATGTGTCCTTAAATAGGGTAATTAATCTACAACAGTTAATTTGATCAAGTCCTTAGTGAGACAATAAATTCAATTTAGAAAATATATTATTTTATTTTTTATTAAAATATTTAAACTCCAACAATTTTCCTATTATTTTAATAAAAAATAAACCTTTCTTTTGGACAAAGATGGATTATTATGCATAATAAAAGCAGTTAAACCTTGAACCTTTATTTAATGAGTCAACAATTCTTAGTCGAAAATCAATAATGAACTAAGTCTTGAACTATGACTCTATTGGAAGATATAAGAATTGTATCACACACATAATGATCTGAATGTTGAGTTTTTCACATAGCTGGCGCATTATGGCCTTGCACATGATCCCGGTCTTCATGGGTGATCTAGAAAATTGCCCTTTCAATTTTCATAGAAACGGCCCCACTTTGATACCCGCATAGGTGAAATTTGTCAAGGAGGCTCCCACAACTAAGACACCCTACTCTATGAGTTACAAAACAAATTTCATTAAGAGTATATAACTCAACCCTTAATTTATTATGGGATAAATGCATCCTCACCTTAGGAATGGACTGGAAATTTTTTCATTAAATATTGATACATCTTTTAGCAATGACTTCTCTATGATTCGTTTTTCTCATTCAAAATCCAATTCTTAAAATTCGGGTTGGGTATTCTCATAGGAAGTTCTATATTATTGGACTTGAATCTCATTCCCCTTAATGAGCACTAGACCTTAGACTATGATTATAGTTTTTCTTCCGACTCTTGTTTTTTCAAAAAACCTAGTTGGTGGTATAGTGAGTAATAAAAGATTTAACTAATTCTTTTTCTCACATTTTCTTTTCACATCAACTCACATGTCTACTAGCTCATAAAATTCACGTTCATATTTTTCAAATTCTGAATTTATAGTACCACAATTTTGATATCAAATTGAGCTAGTGAACCACCATTTTTTCTTTTCATACATGTGAAGACGTATTTAAGAATTTTTTAACGCAAACACCATTATACCTTGTTATACAATAGGAATGTCCATCACATATCTCTTCTCTCAAATGCCTTATTATTTTTTCCATCATACACTATTATACCATAATTGTATAATAGAAATGTATATCACATTTACTTTGTTAAACACCATTATACTTTATTGTATAATAGGAGTGTATATCACATTTGCTTTGTTAAGCACCATTATACCTTATTATATAATAGGAATGTTATGCAAAATCTCAATTAGGCATCATTGGTCTCATGGCCAATAATAATACATAGGGACATTACAATCCCCCACATTAGGAGCATCTCAAATATGTGATTCTCACATTTTTCAAATAATTGAGTTCATGAAAAAACTCATTTTCTTATAAGATTTCACAAGAGCTTATTAGTTCATCTCACATTTTATCGCCGCAAATGGCTCCTTGATCACGTAAGCTTAAAATTTTAACTTACATTTCTGAAATATATCAACCCAAATTTTATGTCCATTTTTGCCAAATAATTACATGGACCAAATCAAATAGCGTTTCACTTGGGTTCTCAAAGTTTCACTTGTTTCATTAAAAGACTTAATAATATGATCAATTAAATGCACATATTTATTCATCAGTGTTTCTTTTTTTTTTTTTACTGTTAGAAAATAATGATCACTAATTAATTATATATCAATGATGCATATTAATGCTCGTAAATTATACCATAAGAAAGCACTTCTACTTTATAAAGCTTTTATATCCATAATTTCATATTAAAATATATGCTCTACCCATGATCACATTTAATTCTAACGGCTAGTATCATAATACTCAATATTATGTGAAAACTCCCATATTAATATGCATGTATTTATCAATTAATATAACATTAAAGATAATCATAAGGTCCATGACCATTCGTATATAATTAAGTGATAAATCACCATTCCATATAACCTATGAATGGTCATGTATCTTTATGCCAAATTAATCACAAATTCATATATGTATCAATGCATGTATAATGGGAGGCATTAAAATTGTATGTACAATGTCTTAACATTTTTTTTTTTTACTGTCCACATGCCATTAAAATTAAATAGCCTACCATTCAAGCATGTGCTAATAATCATATTAGGATCTAAAAACTCATACCTATCTTGAGGCACCAAAAACAAAAAATATCTTGCTTACACAATGTGGCATATGTTTCAATTTTGCTTTTCATATTGAATCGCCTTAAAATTGTTGTTCTTTGAACATTCTTCTCCATCTCCACTACATGTTATTGTTGTGCTTCGGTCACAAAATTAAATAAAATAATAATTAGTGAACTTATAAAAAAACATCAACAAGAAATTATCATTAAAAAAAAAGGCGTGAAAAATTTACTTACTTAAGGCGATTCACACCTTTGCGAAAAGTAAATCAACTAATGCAGCAGAGATATATATAACATATCGCCCCCAAGATGATACAACCTTATAATAACACTCTATGAATATGCACTATTCATAGAGTCGCCTAATTTAAAACACTTTTCTTTACCCAAAAGTATTTGGAAGATAAAGTAAAGTGAGAAAATAGAAGAATGAGGAGAAACTTCCTTTTTTGAGCAAAATGACATGTCCTATTTATAGGACTTATGGGCTTATAACTCTCATTTGTAGGTTAATGATATAAATAAATTAAACAATTATTATGTAATAATGTACCTTTAAGCAGGGTAATTAACTTACAACGACTAGTTTGACTAAATTCTTAGTGGGACAATAAATTCGATTTATAAATTATATTATTTTATTTTTTATTAAAATATTTAAATTCCAATAGTATGTTGTAATATTCCCATCAGTAACCCTTCCTTGGTTGGCGACCTGCACCAAATTGACATATCAATGAGCACAAGCCACGGCATAGAGCACATACACTATAATTCAATCAGCAGTAGAATGCCAGATTTTTCAATCAAAACCTCTAGGCTCCGGCAAAAATTAAATAAGAGTAATATAACAAACGTAAACTGTTGGGATATGGCCCTGCATCAAAGAACTGACTGTCATCTAACACATCTACTCTATCGACACAAGGCTATGTCTTCGGCTCTATGCAGAACCAAAAGTAACAAATCTTAGAATGAAATTTCCTTCATTAAAATTTAGCTTATCTAGATCAATTCTCCAATTGCTCCACCACTCTCCAATAGTCTAAGATAACTTTCATCTGCCTCAACTAATAGCCTATAGAATCATAGATGCTGCACGGTACCAAGACCAGTTGACAAGTAAAGAAAAACCACACACTTGTTCAGGAATATGAAATATTTCAATGAATGGATATTCCTTCTTCTGCCATGCCATGCAGAAACCTGGATATTTTGGGCGCTCAACCTGGAAAAGAATAATGCAATAAACAAATTTATGACGACTAAAATGAGTGACAACATAAGTAAAGTAGGTAGAAGAAGAAACAATGCAATAACAAGGTTGGCAAATTTGTCATCTTAGTCATAACAAAGCAGAGAGGGATGTTATTATGGCGTAATGATAATGACATCATAAGTTGTAGGCTGATAAGAACTAGATTATATTTTAAAGTCTTGAGAGGACTCTTATGGTTAATAAAATGAACTGAAAGAAGCCAAGCAGGATTATAACTTTATTACCCCATCCTAGGACTGTATATATGCAGAACTGTAATTATCACATTTATCTAAAGATAACAGTTTGCGTCTAATTAAATTTATTAGAAGGAAACTCACCCACATAAATTTAACGTTAGGATAAAACCCGGTAGCGGCTTCCTCCAACACTTCGTCAAGATGTCTTGTGTAATTACCCCTGTATTTTCAAAATTTTAATAACTGGATGCATAGGGTTAGATGACTGTTCGGTGGTCATAAAAAGGGAAATGGCAGGATTCAATTTCAAGTACCTGATAGTAAATGCAACAACCACAGGACGCCCTTCATGAGGGAGCTGAACAAACTCACGTTCTAAATTGAAATGAATAACCCACGATGGCCCAAGATCTTTTGGATAACCAGTGTAGTACCTTGCATTTTCAGGAATAACGAGAACCAAAAGAGATGATAAATCTTTTCCAAAAACTCATATGTTACGTTGTGAATTGTTCCATTGGAATCACATGGAAGATATGCTTTTCTTATAATTAATTCTATAGACACAAGCATTTGATTCATTGAATAATCGACATGTTTTTTTGCAGACCTAAAATCCAGTGTTAAATGTTGCTTGCAGGGGATGCCAAAGCGAAACTCTTTAGGATTGATGTTCATAGAAATTACTATGAGAAATTGCAGTAACGCAACTTTCAAGGTAAAATTCTGGTGGTTAACTAATCTTCTAAGCATATCTCTTAATATAGTCACTCAATGTACAGAGAGCTTAAAACAAGACAATTTGAATGACAAACATGAAGAGTGAACTCAGTTGATGCTCACCCTAATCTAAAACTCCCTAAAACAGAAATGTGAAAATAGTGAGTTCAAACAGCAGCTATAAACACAAAAGAATATGCATATACACATTTAAGAATGAAATGAAAAGGGAGACATACTTGCATGTTGAACAGAGATGATTGATCATTCCATCAAAAAAGGATGGCCCATTTGAGTTTGCAGTTCTAAATTCTCTTCTCAATTGGATGTCTTGTCAAATGCCAAACTGAAAGGTATGAATGCTAATGTATGAAGTGACAAAGCATTCAGAAACTAAGTCTCAAATTTCAAGATATGTACTTACAAAACCAAGAGAGGATAGAATGGAAGAATTTCACAATTTCAACCTCACACCCACAGCCATCTACAAGAGATTGCCAATTAAAACCCTTAATCCCACAAATCCCGCCTCAATAGCCACACCCACAAAATTTTAAGAAAAAGAAAAAGAGAAAGTTTTGTAAAAAAAAAACAAAAGCAGTGACCAACACCCCACTATGACAAGCAAGCGGGAGAGAAAACTCATCAAACCAATCCCAAATTACCTTCCCAATCAACCAGCTTAGAACCTCACAACAAGCTCCTATACTCTTTGGGACAATAGAACAAACACAACTAGTGCATTCCACGTATAAACTAGAGATAAATGAAAACAACAACAATCCAGTGAAACCACAGCAGGTCTCTCGAGAACCAACTTCAACGCCAAAAAAGGGGGCTAATTTGGCTTACCCACGTTACTGATGATTGCTCTGTCACCTCTGATGTTAATGGGGACCTGAGTTTGCACCGAGGCCCATGGCTTCAGCAACCCAAAATTTCAGTTTAGTCACTTGGAAGAAAGGAGATTTTGCCAAGCAGGCGTGCTGACAGTCTGGTTGGGACTTGGCAATGGAAATAACGTAAATTACATGTTGGGTCCCTCACCTATAATACGTTTTCACTTTGGGTACCAATTCTTTAAATTATATTAATATAGTCTTTCCTTAAATTTATATGGCATCACTTGGCCAAAACTTGTCATCGGAAACAGCTCACCATTTTGCACACCCGCTGGCTAGGGTAGGTCTAATTTTGCAAGGGTATATTATGGG